TCGGGGGTTCTTTCTTGGTTGGGTGGAATGTCTGGAGGTGGAGCAGGGAGGTTTCTTTGGAGCAAAGTATTGATCAGGGCCTGGTTTTGCTCGGCCATGCGGTTAATACTGTTAGTAAGTTCGATGATGTACTGTGGTGGGTTGTTTGGATGGGAAGGGTCTGTTTGATGATCGGTGGTATTATGGTGGGAGGCCATGGACCTAGTCGTGACCATACACCTGGACGGGTGAGAGGAAAAAGGTAATAGTGAGGAAGGAGGGCTCCGGCGATAGCAAACACAACTAGCGCACGAATAAACCACAAGTTTCCCACAGACGGCGGCAACTGATAATGCTGTCCGTCTCGGGTGGATGGGTTGGGCTGGTCCAAGCTCTTCAAGTTCCGGTTCAGGATGATGATTCCGCCAAGTGACCTGCAAGCAAGTCCAAAGGGGAATGGGGCAGTCCCCCAGTGAACCCTCCGGCGAGATAATCAGTAGTCGAAGAAAAGAATGTAGACAGAGAGAGAGAGAGAGATAAAAGTCTAACCTTCATCTTGTCCTGTATCCTTGCTTATATCCTTTGGTAATCATTTCACTGCCCCTTGTGACGTGCCCCCTTCCGCCGAAAGCCTGTGCCGTAGCTTACCTTGTTCAGGGTGAGGGGGCTCTGTTCCGACGGGGAGGTGTTGTCGTAATAAATGCTGTGACGGGCTGCATTAATGGTGATGTGTTGTGGTAATAACTCTGCAGATATTTGTCTGCTGATGTGGCCTGTGTTCCACCTGCCATGTGCCCGAATACCATTGGCCCTCCATGTCTAGATGGCCTCCAGCTGTCCTGGGCTTTGTCAACCGGGTTATGCTATTAGTCCCAAGCGATGGGTTTGGGGTGGTTTGTTGTGGGCCGTATGCCTTGTGGGCCCATCCATGTCAGAAAGAGATGAAGATGAAGATGAAGATGAAGATGAAGATGGAGTCTCAAAAACTCCATTGATGAAATCAACGGATAAGCAATTTTATCAAAAATTTTGTATGAATATCTACATACCATTCAGAATGTAAGCAATTTTTAAATTTTATGACTTTTTGTTAGATAAGACACTTTAACCAATAACACATCTAATGAGAATGCTTCAAGAATGCCGAAATTGAGAGAACAAATCCAAGGATGCATTTATTTTCTATTTTTAAGTGGCGTTTGCTTTTTCCAAAGTGAATTAATTTTGCACTTTGGAATGGTAACTTTGAATCGTAGCCCTCCATGCTTCATCTGTGAATGCATCATCCTTAAGCCCACAAGTGGTAACAAGGCCATAATGCCCGCCCCTTTTGATATTTGAGTCCTAATAGTCAAACCCAGTGTCAATGAGAATGAAGATAAAGAGTTGTGTATGACAATTATTGATTTAGTAACGACTAAGCAAGATGAATATTTGAAGAAAGTATAATATATTATTGTGGATTTATTTTTGGGAAACAAAAGTTGTGGGACAAAAGGCTCCCATTTATTTTATTTTTTTAATAGATAAGAGAGTAATTATATTATGAGAAATATTTACATTATTAAATAGACCGTTAGTTTACAATAGTTAGAAGTTAACAAAGTCTATCAAACTCATAAGCCCACTAAGCAAAGCCTAACAACCAATACTAATCACATACAACACTATATAATGGTGGAGAAATAAACCAACCACCACAAAGCATATCAAACTCTTATATCACATACAACCCCATTTTGAGATAGAAAAATCTTTAGATACAATCTAGCCATTTGCCAAAAAAAAATATTGACAGTAACTATGACACCACGATGGCTTCACTTGCTAAAAAAAATTATAAACGAAATTAGACGGATAAATATTGATTAAAAAAATTTACAACTCCACAATCATGGCTGGTTCTATTCATATTTATTCATAAAGACAGATCTTTACACACACATGGTGAATGTATATATGTTAGTAGTGTGAGCAAACTCGATAAGTGTACTATTAAATATGTAAGAGATCACAAATTTTGATTTGAATCATAATTTGATTAGTTATAGAAGACTTTACATAAGATATTTTGGAGAAATTAAAAAAGCACATCTACACGAAGTCTGACCTTCTCCTTGTACATAGTACTGATATAGATAGATGTATATATCTATGTATGTATAATATAATTTATAAATAACCATATATATATAAGGGAAATGGTTTATAAACAAAATTATCATCATAAATAAAAATGAAAAACAATGTTTGGGGGAACAAAAAAAAGGAAGATGTAGAGTTAAATCGAAATTGAGAGGCAGATGGAATTACCGACCTGAGTAGAGGCCTTGGATGTGTAGCTTCATTGATGGGCTGATGAGACAAGCGCAAGCAAGAGCATGGATCTCAGCCATGATTAACTAAACCACCCTTGGAATGATCTAATTTAAATTCAGCAACAAAATGATATATTTCAAAATATTTCTGGGTGAATATATCTGGGTCTATAAACTTATTCATTTAAAAAAATATTTTTAAATTTTGTAAAATCCTTGGGAAAATGTTTTGAAAGTAATGAAAAGTGTTTTTCTTTTTCCCAAGTTGTGTACAAAATCAGTTTCAATTGTCTAATTGGATGAAAATGGTACGTTTCAAATCACGTCAGAGCGAGGACATAATATGCATGCTTAACATGCATTAGGTTTAGAATGATGATAAGTGTTAATGTATATATGGTATATATTTCTATATATATTAGGTATTGATTTATTAGATATATTAGGTATTATTATAGTTAGGTCTGTTATAGGATACTCTTTCTCATGGTTAGATTTCTACTAGGATATTATTTCTCAGCTTATATATATAAGCCTTCTATTCAATACAATTCATTCAATACAATACATATTATTTTTCTCTCTGTCTCTACTATTCTGACATGGTATCAGAGTTAAGTTAAGAACCTAGTAATTTTGTTTCACCAGCGGGCGGCAACCTTGCCTTGGCCGCCCGCCGGACCTCAACCTATTTCGCTGTCATGTTTTCACTTCAGTATCGTTTTGTGGTGATCTCTTCCTCTATCTGCCGGTTTATTTTTACCCTAAATATCTCTATCATATTTTTTTTTTACTTGTAATCCGTTTTTTTTTTTTTTTTTTTTTGTGCTTTTGTTCCCTCTTTTTCACCCTCAAACAGGTTTCTAGTTTTAAACCTATTTGAGTTTGAGGAGGTGTATTATACCTATATCATGGTGAGCGTGGTTATACACCATGCGAACCACCTAAGCCGCCCCCTTTGGCACACAATCCAAGCCGCCCCCTAGCGCACTCAATTATCTGCTGCCATCATCGTTCAGCACCATGTCATAAGTTATGTGTGTGCCACGCTTGCTGGTTCAACATCCAGTTCTTTACATCAGTTTGGCATGACCCCTTTAAGCTGTCCTGACATTGATTCCGGTTAGCTCCTACATCAGTCCGGTATGACCTTTTCAAACTGTCCCAACATTGATTCCGGTTAGCCAATCTCCACAACGGTCCAACATGACCTCTTTAAACTATCCCGGCATTAGTTCTAGCCAGTTTCTACAACAGTCTGGCATGAACTTAAACTGTCTTGACATTAGTTCCAACTAGTTCCTACAATAGTCCGACATGACCTTAAGCTGTCCTGGCATTAGTTTCAGTTAGTTCCTACAATGGTCTAACAGGACCATAAACTGTCTCTCGGCATTAGTTCCAACCAGTTTCTACATTGATCCGGAACGACCTTAAATTGTCTTGGCATTAGTTTCAGCCAGTTCCTACAATGGTCCGACACTACCATAAACTGTCTCCCTGCTTTAGTTTCGACCTCTAATCTATTTCAAGCGCCTTTACGCTCCCGTTCAGATTTTGCAATCTATTTTCCTTTTATTTTATATAGTTTTATTTCATGTTTTAGTTTCTCTCTCCAAACTCAAGATGTTTATCCTCCTTGAGTTTGAGGGGGATGTTAATGTATATATGGTATATATTCCTATATATATTAGGTATTGATTTCCTAGATATATTAGGTATTGACATAGTTAGGTTTCTTATAGGATACTCTTTCTCATAGTTAGATTTCTAGTATGATACTCTTTCTCAGCCTATTTATACAGGCCTTCTATTCAATACAATTCATTCAATATAATACATATTCACTACAAAAAAATTGACTTTTTGCGACGGTAAAATACCGTCGCTAATACTCCTAATGCCGTCGCTAATACTTTTTGCGACGGCAAAATGACTTTTTGCGACGACAAGAGGGGAGTCGCAACTGCAGGGGTTGCAAAAGAGTTTTTGCGACGGTAAGTGCCGTCACTAATGTTTTGCGACGACATTTTTTACCTTTTTGCGACGGCACCATGCAGTCGCTAATAACGTTTGAAATTTCTTAACTTTTTTGCGACGGCCTTATTTTTACCGTCGCTAAAAATGTTATTTGAGACGGCAAAAAATACCGTCGCTAATAGTCTTTTTTTAAAAAAAACACTGTTTTTGCGACGGTGTGGTGCCGTCGCAAAAAGTATAAAAAAATATGAAATTTTTTATTTTTGCGACAGTGTAATGCCGTCGCAAAAAATATTAAAAAATAATAAAATTTTTATTTTAAATAATAAAATTTCTATTTTTTGCGACAGTATAATGTCGTCGCAAAAAGTAAAACCTGTAACAAAATTAATAAAAATATTAAAATTTTCTATTTTTTCCGACGGTGGTGCCGTCTCTCACTCACTAAGAGCTGATTATTTACATTCCATTCACAAAAACATCATAATAGAAAACAAAAATAAAAATTGATCAAACCATCAAATTCAATATTTTACAAAGAACAATTAAACTGTACATGTTCATAAAAGCATATTTAAATTATAAAATTCACCCAAATCCTAAAAAAAAATAAAATAATAAAATAAAATCTAAAATTCACCAATCAGCACATTGGATATTTAAATGCTCTTACAAAAAATAAAAAAATAAAAAATTTCCAACAAGATCTCAATTTTGAGCCTATTTCAAAAATCAAGCTGCAAATTCCTTACTTCTAGAATCAGATCTTCCCCTCGGCAAAATTTATCCTTTTGACCTACAAATAAATAGATAACAGTTGCAAATTATAATCTTTTGGAGAAACCAACTATTTAAACACCAGTAATGAAGACAATGAAAACTGTGGAAAGAACACTTACGTTGTCATCAGGAACAACTGCATATCTCTCAGAGTAAACTTTAATCGGGTCTACTGGTTTTTCTGTGACATCACTATCTCCTGAACATCACAAAGAACAAACCAAAGTTAACACCAATATTTCACTATCACATCATCATCAATTATTATCATTCAATTATAGATTAAGGTATACTTAGTTTCATGTATCATTCAGCTCCAAGGCACTAAACTAACAATGTGATCTCATCAAATATATGCTATATGTTGTAAATTCATGCATGAGCAACGATTATATAAATTTTGCACATGAAAGGAAAAATAATAATACAATCACCTAGGTTTGCCTAGGGTCTTGGGTGCTCTACTGAATTTTCTACAGTATCCCCCACCAACATTGGGGCTTTGCACTCCAACAAAATCCGTAGGTAAGGCTACACATACACCTAGACCCGATCCATACCACAGAGCATCATTATAGAGCACATTGGTGGATCTTCATATAATAAGAAGGCAAAGACTGATTATAACATGTGAAAAATCAGCTCATCTAAGAACCTAAACTTAAAACTTCCTTACCTTCAATAAATCTCATGGCACAACCAGTAAATGATGTATATGCACATATTTATAGGTAACAAAACTTACTGATTCAATCACCTAGAAAGCCAAAAGTGGACTACAGGGAAAAGGAAATAAATAATAAAAACCTCACTATTTAAAGAGTAAAGAATTAACCAGAATTAATATATATATATTGGGGCAAATTCGACATAAAACCGTGCACACTGACCAAGCCAGCCAAATTTTCAGACTACCCTAAAAATTATGAAATATCAAAAGTAACTAAAACAAAAGTATCCTTTTCATGAATAACACCACTAATAACTTTGAGCCATACACATGAGTATGAATTACGTACGATTCATGCAAAGCTTCATTACCTATGATTCATGAAAATCTTCATATGATAATAAGGTCCATAGAATTTTTAATTTTTTTATAAAATTTTTAGGGACAAAAATAAACATGATGTTGATGCTGTCTTTAGGCCATGTTCACAAGTCCAAACCGAGTAGCAGCATACATCATCAATCACTAGGTAGCGTCAAAATAACTATATAATATTGTTTATGTAATGTTTTGAGCAAATAAAGAGCCGCAAAATAAGTTAGGCGAGTAGTTCGTTATTTCTCACCAATTTAATAAAAATGAATAAACATTGTACTATCCCGTAAAATTTTTCACTATGCTTATGTTTGGAAAAAGTAAAGGACAATAGAAAAATATATATTTTATTTCCATTTGTCTCACTTTTTTCATAATCTAAACACAATTTACGTGATTAATTAAAAACATCATATAAATAATGTCACATAATTTCCATATCATGAAACATTAACTTATTTAAGTTGCATCTGCATCATTCCAATTCCATTCATATGTGAAAAATGGACCCCATTCTGAATTGTAATAATTGTGAGAGATCATTTTCTTCCCAAAGTCGTACAATGCTGCAATACCAAGTAAATTGTCATGCACAAGCGTGTTCTTCATATGCTTGCAACAATTCCAACCAATCTTCTATAGGCCTTGTTTTTTAATTTTTTTTTTAAATTTTTTTTGTGGAAATAAGGGGAGATTTGAAAGAATTTCTTAAGATGAAAGAGAAAGAAAAAAATTAGAGAGAAAAGAAATTATCAAAATCAAAATAAAAAAATTTATGAAATACAAAATAAAAATAAGGGGGATACACCAATAAATCCCAAATTAATAACTTATGCACTATTTAGTCCTAAAAGTTTTCTTATAGACTGAAAGGTCTCATTACAATGTTAATAACATCATAGTCATGTTACAAACATTGGATTTCAAACATCTAATGTTCATCAAATTTCAATAATGTTTGAAAATATAGGATGAAAAACATCTAATGTTCATCAGATTTCAATAAATTTTGAAATTATAGAATGAAACATCAGATCATTTACATCATTCACATCATGTTGATGTAAAAATAGGACTAAATGGAACATAAGAAAACTTTTAGGATTAAATGGTTTAACGTTTCAAAAACTAGGACTTATGGATAAATTTTCCTAAAATATTTCTCTCATAATCACAGGTATAATTATTCGTAAATTGAATAATTTTTATATTATGTACTTTGTTATTAGAATTTTATGATTTGTGACCTACCCATATTTTTTTTTTGTGTCTTCAATTGGATAATTCACATCATTCTCTTGTTAGAGCACTTTAATCATGAATTTTATTGAGAAAAGATCGAACGTAGGGAGGGAAATGGTGGAGGGTATGTTGGGGATGGCAGCATAGAGGTAGATTAGTCGAGCTTGATGGTGGAAGGTCGAAGGATGTGGTGATGGTTGGTGGTGTTTTAAAGAGACAAAAAATGGAAACAAAACAAAAAGAAAAAAAGAAAAAAACAACAATATTGCAGCCAATAAAGAGTTGAATTCTAGGTAACCCTTTTGGGAAACCTCTCTCTCTTCCAACTTTCTCAGGAAATGGAATTTCTCCACCTTCTGGCTGTCTTTCTAGTCTGCTCTGCATTTGGGTTCTGCGCTCCGAAATCATTAGTCTCAAAACCTGTCATCTTGGTGAGCTTGCCCAGTTTTTTCCACCCACTGGTCCAAGCTGATGTCTGTTTCGGCTTCTCCATCTTATTAAACTGTCTCTTTAAACTCTCCATATCATTTTGGAGCTCCAAGTACTTGGTTTTAGCACTCTCAAGCTCAAGTTTGAGTGTATTTATGTCCTTTTTCGCTGCTGCCCATCCTTCTTGAAATGACTGTGGAGTTCCTTCAAGTAAGGTTTTCTTGTTTGATGCCATGGGTGGGTAGTGAGCGTCAGCGGCTTCTTTTAGAGAACTGTTGGCTATTGCATTGCTTATCTTGACCTGTTCAGAGAAGAGTACTTGCACCACCACACGCAATGGAAGGCGTTCATTTTGGGCAGCGTGCATACAAGCATCGATTGAGAGCTTTTGGCAATCCATAACACGACAGAGTCGCTTCCTTTCGTGCTCTGAGAGTGTTGGATGGGCCTGCCAGTTTGATAGAACAGATCAAACTTCCAACCAGAGGGAGTACTAATTAATTTTTTTTTTCTTCTTCTATGGGATAACATCAATTGGTTATGTCCTGTTTTACGCAAATCAGAATCTTATATTGTAGTTTCATAAAAACAAATGCATACTTTTTGTTATAAAAACTTCAAAAAATTGAACTGCTATAATTTATACGATATAAAGAGTAGTCTCAGTACATGAGACTCTAGCACTGCACCGTATGAGAGGGGTAATTATGATTAAAAAATAATATTAATAAAAAAAATCCTTTAGATTCACTTTTTGTAATGTCTTTTATGGTTTTATTATTTTCAGTATTGAGAAATCATCCGATTAACTGTTTTAAATCTGTCTTCTATTCATACTTAGCAATATCTTAAAGAGTTCTTAACCTTTCTAATAAATTAGTCATTTTCAAAAGCACAAGTTCACTCACTTTACACTGCCTATTGTGATATTGTATAGAGCAATAGTATATATATAGCAAAACACAGACTCTCATGATAAATCATTGAAATGAAAGTAAAAGAAACCGAAAAACGTGTAGAGTTGTAATTGAATTACCTTAAGATAGGAATCAATAGCTCGGTACAGTCCATCATTGCACGTTCTTGCTGATTCGGGCAAGGACTCTGCCAGGACCTGGAATTTTGTTAAGGAGAGGTTTCTATCTCTGGAAACTTCTGTCAGATAACTGTCCACAAGCCTTGCCACTCTCATCTTGGCATTAAGAACATTATGACCCGTTTGAGTTTCTTCATACATGTGTATCTCTGAAAGAGACTCTGCATTTGGACTCGAGTTCTCTGTCTGTTCCTGAACAAGAAAATGCTCCAAAAGCCTCTGAACTAGATCCACATCGTACAGTGTCTCGCTTTTATTGTAAGATGGTATGAGAAGATCCAGTAAGGAAGCTTGTTCAAATTGCATTCCTACGCGCTTTTCTAAATCAGTAACCAAAGCATGTGCTACCTTCAACATGTTCGCCACCCTCAGTAACCGCAGAAGGAAGCTGCACGATACGCTGTCCTTCTGCGGTGGAATTATACTTATCAGGCTCTCGATGATCATTCGTTGATCTTTTGCCTGAATGTTTGCCACGCCATCTTTAGTCCCGGCTACTATCAGATGCAGCCCCCCTTTCATTAAAGTTGAAAATCAGGGTCACTGTTCTTTTTCATTGAAGCATTCAAGAAAAATTAAAATTAAAGTTAAAATTATTATTTTTTTCTGTACAAAATCACTCCAAAACCAGTCCAAAATCTGTCCAAAATCAAAATCAAATTCGTCCTAAACAGATGAAATCAAAGTGAAAGACACAAATCAGGGCATATAGATATAGATATATACATAGATATAAATCAGGGCATGAAATCAAAGTCAAAAATCTCAGCAAATCAGGGTGTATAGATATAGATATATAAATATATATATATATATAGAGAGAGAGAGAGAACTGACTTGTGTAGACAGATCTGTGAAGACGGAGAGAGACTCGGTCGTCGTCGGTCGTCTTCAGAAGCTGCGCTTGTCGTTCTCGTGAGAAGCTGCGCTCGTCGGGGTTGTAGAAGCTGTATTCGTCGGGAGCTCGTCGACAAAGAGGCACAGTAGAAAAAAGAAGAGAATGAAGAATAGAGAGAGAGAGAGAGAGTCTTCAAATGTTTTGTGCAAATGAATTTGAAATTTGAAATGAATAAGAAAGAGGGAGAAACGGGCGAGTTTACCTCAGCTTTCCACGTTGGCAGCCACGTCATTAGTGCCGATTTAGTGATCACGTTTTAGAGGTCGGAAGCATTTTCGTATTTGGTTTGTGCAACAATGATTCATCCCACTAAAAACATCACCACTAATAGCACTAATGCATTAAAAAGTAAAAAAAAAAAAAAAAATACAACTCCAAGACCAAAACATCTCATCATTAATGACGGGACCCACTGCTACCTAATTAGTGGGAACACTAATTAGTGCTCCCAAACATTTTTCTTGGTTTGTGTACCCAACTTTTTTTTCTTATAAATAGAAGTACTCCCATTTCTCATTCAAAGCTAGCTATAACTAGTTTTGGGAAAATATTGTAACCAACTCCAAACGCTGGCTTTCAATTTGTCTATATTCATATCTAAGTTGCTTTAAAAGCTTTGGTGTTGAATCAAGTTTGATGATGCAAGCAATTACATGGTTATTCAAATGACAACAAACAAATAAATACCAAAAAAATAAACAATTATGTTTGGATTGAGTGATTTGGAGAGAAAAAAAAAGAATTAGAGAAATATGTATTTCTCTTACATATTTGATAACTTAAGTAGAAAGAAATTGGAAGAAATAGAGAGAAATATTTTTCTTATAACTCTCATTTTCATTCTTTCCAAAAGTTAAGAGATTGGGACAGAAAAGAAACCAACAAGTTTTTTTATTTTCATATTACCAATTTTGTCCTGTAAAAATAAAAGAAATAAAATGATTGAAAATATAAAAAGATTATTTGGTAATATAACATAAAATAATTTCTTTTTTTTTCTCGTATAAAATTTAACCAAACAAGAATGAGAGAAATCACAATCATTTTTTTATTTTATTTCCTCCTTATCTAAACAAGAAAGAAATAAATTACCAATAATGCTTGAGACCACTAAAAGTGGTGCTCTAAAAGCACCACTAATGATGTGGCAGTGGACGGGACCCACTGCTTGTGTCTTGTTTGTCTTGTTTTTTTTTTTTTTTGATTAAAGTGCTTGCCAACTCATTATTTCTTTTATTTTCTTTTCTCTTTTAACTTAAATAATTATTTCTTTTCTTTTCTCTTCTACATTTCCAAACATAGTGTTAGCAAACAAATAAACAATTGGTCACAACTGAAAGTAGATTTTTGGGTAAATATGGGGGAAAATAATTTTGAGTCGTGTAGATGAAAAGGACTTTGAAATTTTGGGACGGGATATGACAGATAGGGTTTTAGGGATTTCAAGCCATACCTCTTCAATGAGAGCTCCTGAGATCTTCAAGAACCCCCATTCGTGAGCAAGAAACGAGAGCAAAAGAGAAATGGACAAGAGAAATCAATTGATTGAGTCGAAGAAAGAAGAAGAGAAGATTTTAGGGTTTTTAGGCCCTGTTTGATTCTAGGATATAAAGGGTGGGATTGGATATTATATCCTGTGGTGTCTACATATCCCATGTTTGTAATTTTTTTTCAAAGAGGATATAATATCTCATGGGATTGTATATCCCCCAAAAGTAGAGGATATACAATACCACCACCCCTCCATTATATCATATCCCCTTGGTTGGGATATGATTTGAAAAGTCCAATTTACCCTTTTGTGCATCTAACATAATATAATTTAATATATTTTTTGAATATAATATAATATAATTATTGAATTTAATTTAATATTATTGAATTTAATATACTATAAATATGATTGAATTTCATTTAATATAATATAATATTATTTAATTTAATTTAATTTAATTTAATTTAATATTATTGAATTGAATTTAATTTAATATAATTTAATATAAATTTTGAATTTAATATAATATAATATTATTTTATTTAATTTAATTTAATATAATATAATATTATTGAATTTAATTTAATTTAATATAATTTAATATAAATTTTGAATTTAATATAATATAATATTATTTTATTTAATTTAATTTAATATAATATAATATTATTGAATTTAATTTAATTTAATATAATTTAATATAAATTTTGAATTTAATATAATATAATATTATTTAATATAATATAATATAATATAATATAATATTATGAGGGCAATCTTGGAAATTACTTGTTTATATCTCACAATATATTTTGTAAAACAAACATGGATAATATATATCCAATCTTATATATCAAATCAACAAACATGAATTGAGGGATATATTATTCAATACTTATATCTTATTCATTATATATCCTGATTAAATCTCACATCATATTATATCCTTTATTTTATATCAAGTAAAATAAACAGGGCCTTATACCTCTTCAATCCCATTGCTGACGAACCAGAGAAGAGGCTGGAGAGGGAATTTGGGTGTAAATGTAATAAAGTTTGAAAAATATTCGATTAATTCACTCAAATCCAATGACTGAATATATGGCATGCAACTTTCATGCCTTGCACACTGTGACACTACAAAATTATAAAAAGGTATGCAACTTTCATGCCTTGCACAACTATAAAAAAATGCACCGTGTTTGGTTTAATTTTTTGGAAATTATATTTAATATTTTTTGTGTTTTTGGTTTTTAATAAATATTTTTAAAATTTTAAATATATTTTTTAATTTTTTTAGATACACCTTATTTAGATGTATTTAAAAAATAAAATATTTTAAAAAAAATTAATAAATACATAAAAATACGAAAATATATTAAATTCTCATATTTTTTTGTATTTTTGATATTTAGTAAATTTTTTAAGGATTTTTTTTTCACAAATATTATAATTTTTAAGTGTCTTTATGTTAGATGTATCTAAAAATTAAAAAAATTATTTAAAATATTAAAAAAATAAAAGAAAACAAAAAAATACGAAAAATAAAAAAAATTGAATTTTTTGAAAAGTGAATCTTGAATTCGGAAACCAAACAAGCTGATCTTTTGGGAATAAATTTTTTGAAGATAGAAAAACTATTTTTTAAATTTTAAATTTTTATAAGTTAGAACATCTCCGATCATTTAGTAATTTTTTTGATTGAATTCAAGTTTGATAAATGAAAAGCTAAAAATGAGTTCCTATCATTTCATTAAACTTATAGAAATCAAATTAAAGAAGTGACAAATTTTACACCAAATTAATGATGAAACAAATCTTTCACCAAATTTCAAACAATGATATATTTATTTAAATTTCATAAAATTTCAAAAAGAATAATGATCAAGGATGATTTTCTTTCATATAAAATGGTTAAAACAAGTTTTAGGGTAAGTAGAATTTTTCAAAATATTTTATTCCAAAAAAAATAAGGGTATAGATCACAGTGTTTTATACGAGATCAAGTTTTGAATCAAATTTCCACTCAAATTTGATGAAAAAGATATATATTTTTCACTCAAATGAGTACAAATAGGGTAGCTATCGGAGAAGAAAGGCTGAAAAGAGGTTTTGGTGTGGGGATCATCCCATTCGAGAGATTCCCACCATTTTTCCTTCTCCATGAAGAGCAGGTAGTGCAGAAGCTTGCTCACCATCTTCATTTATGTGCAAAGAAATAGGCAATCTCCTTACAATAATGCTAGGTATCATGAAAACAATGTCATGAAAAGTTTTCATGAAGATTCTCCACCCTTGGATTAGATTATAGTGTTTGTAGTGTTTTATTGTATGTTATGCATTCACCATTGGATTAGTTTCATGAAGTTTTTCATGATATTTATTTCATGATATGTAGCATTACCCATCTCCTTAACATGGGACACCACTATATATGAATTTCTTGCAAAGATTCACAGACCATTATGCCCTTCTAAGAAGGATGATGATCAAAAGATGGATTCAAGCCCATCACAGTCTTCAATTATAAATCTTCTTAAATCTCTCACATCCCTCAACGATTGGATATCTGATAAGCTAATGTGATAGTCCCATCTTCTAATGTTCAAGTACTCTATGTTGCTGGGGAGCATTACATGACCTACACCAATACTTCTAAGATATTTGGAGTTATAGATACAAACTTCTGATGCTTCAGGATAGTATTTCTCTTGTTCATTATCTTGGTCTTTTTTATCAACAATTCCCACCACAATACTGTAGTTTTCCAAACTTTGGCATTGTAGAGATGTCACATAATTGGTAAGCTCTTACACATTGTGAAACTGGGCTTCGTGAACTTTTAATTGTGTCAAGCCCAACAGCTCTTTTGATGGCACTTCAACTTTTGTTCTCTTAATTCCAAGGCATTGGAGTTGTGAGAGTCTGCGTAACTTCCAGCAAGGAAACGTATGTAGGCTATAATTCCGGGAGAGGTTGAGATTTCTAAGACTGGTCAATTCTTCTATACCTTGAGGTACTTCTTCAATTTGACTTTCAGTCAGTTTTAACTCTTTCAATGCCATTAGTTTTTCCAGTGAAGGAACATAACTTAGTTGCCAACAATTCTCTAGTAACAGTGCATACAAA